GTGGGGGAGCGGAGGGGAGGGTAAAGGGGAAAGAGCAACCAAAGGACTTACATGCAGGCACAGAGGCCTAACCAATGGACACGGACAACGGGGCGGGGGGTGGAGGGTGATGGGACAGGGACAAATATGTAATATCTTAATCAATAAAAAATATATTAAAAAAAAAAGAATATGTGCCTGTTAGACTGGTGAATTTAATGCTCATAAAAGACAGATTAAGCACCATGTCTAAATTCCATATCATGCAAATAGATGAGCCTGGATCCGTGTGTTTCAAGCATGGTTGTGAATTGTTCTGGTTACTTTTAAATGCGAGAAGGCGTGTGTAGTACTCATGGCTGCAGGAAAGCCGTTCTCCCATGTGAAGTTATGAGATCCAGTGTTGAATTCTTGAATGCCCGCCGTGCAGCATGGGACGTCCATCCTTCCACTGCCCCATGATATTGAGTTGTAGTAGGTTTTTGGCTCCTAATTTAGGTCCCCTGAATTGTTTTGTTAAAACCAGATACCTATGCCCGCTGCTCCAGTGTGTGAGAAAAAAAGACCAAGTTGTCTCCAGGGATTTTTTTTTTTTAAATAGGATGAGCAAGGATCACACTTCAGCTTTGCTTTGTGGCTGAGTTAATTATTTTCAGTTCGGGATTCTGAATTTGAAGACCAGGGCACTTGCCCAAATCTGTAGCTGTCAAGATCTAGGCTGTTTCAGTTGGCAGTATTTAAAATGGCAAAGTGTTGCGCTTAAGCAACTTTTAACATTTGCTCTGCCCGACATACTTCCTATGAAAGTATAAGTATCTTCTTGACCTGGTCACTGTAATGTTTCCCCAAGTAAGCAGGAAAGATGGATTAATTGTTGTTTATTGGGTTTTTTAACTGAAGGATGTAGCTAGATGACATTTTGACATGTAAGATATTTATTTTTACATAATTTGAAATGTTCCTTTTGAAATTCTGGGCAGGCAATGTGCCTTCGTTTAGATGGGTGATCTTGCTTAAGCTCAGGCATATCTAAAATTGTGGCTTAAATTCTCATATTACATTGTCAGCCTTCTGGTGTAGATGACTTCCTGGACTGCAGCAGGGGAAGGGCCCAGGCTCTCCTTCAGTGCTGCATAGCGGAGTGTTCTGCTGCTGATTCCTTCAGTAGCTCCTCTTTGTGTTTCTACTCTGTTCTAGGTACCATTCTAAGGGTTGGCAGTATAGTGGCGAGTAAGACCACGTGTTCTTAGAGCTTATACTCTGGCAGTCAGTACTGTCCGGTGATTGGATTTCGTCTCCTGTGCTGCTCAGCCTTCCTCCTGCCACTGCTTCACACACACCTGATATATGGACCATACTGAACTACTCCTCTCTGAGGACATGGCACTTTCCTGTGCCCTTGCTGTTCCCAGTACCCAAAATGTTCTTCCCTGTTTGTTTACCTGGCAAACTCTTCCACTTCGTTTAAGACTCAGCTCAAAGGTTATTTCATCTCTGACTCCCTCCTTCCTCTACCAGGCCATGTAAAGCGCCTTGATTTGAAACCATTGTGGAGATAAATGAATGCCCTTTCCAGAATAGAATGTATACTTCTTAGCTGGGAAAATATGACTTGGAATTTCTGGGCATGCCTCTGTCTCCTCTTCTCCACCTCCAGATGGGTTAGCTGAGTGAGGAGTTAACTTGTGGCGCCATCAAGTGGTTTGGCCAGGCAGTGTGACTTAATCCTGATCTAAATAGTCCAATTTATGCAGAGACAGATATATAAAGGGGGTGGGGTTGTTATAATATAACTAAGTAATTGGGAAATACAAGATCATCTTTGTCTTGAGAAGCTGAACACTTTAGAAGCTTGTGGTCTATATATGCAAACAGTTTTTTAATCCTCACTCTTTTTGTAACCAGGAAGCCTGAGGCACAGCACTGTGAATGGTTTGCTTACGTTCTCCTACTTATTAACAGCAAAGTTTATAGAACTCAGAAGCAGTTGTACACCTGAAATTTATATAATGTTATTAATCAGTGTTACCCCAATAAATTAAAACTCAGAAGCAAAATGGTAAAAAACTAAGGAAGAAAAGTGGTGGTAGCCAAAGGCTGAGAACGAGAAATGTTTATTGTAGAGGGACCAAAGCTGATAGGACAAGCTCAATTGACTATAAATTATAGAGAAAAGTGTTCTCTTTATAAGGGTAAAATGTCAAAAATCTCTTCCTCGGTGGTTCTCTAAATGTTTAGTCGGAGCAGAATCTCTGCTCTTTAGGCTTCTGTGATGCCTTATTTTTAAGGTTCAAAAAGGTACACTTCTGCTGTTTTTAAGACTTTCTTGTCTCAAATTCTGCTTCATTGAGAGATTGACTTATTCGTTTGCTTTGTGCTGCCGTGTGTCTGTCAAGCTGCCTTTAGAGAGAGGCTTCTCTTTTTCTCTCTCTAATGGTGCAAACTTCATATTTCATCAGAATGTTTCTGTCACAGAGCAGTCAAGCATCACTGTGAATTCGGAGTTTGTGGCCTTCCTAATCAATGGCATGTTTTTTTCTGGGGGGTGTTGCCTTTCTAGAGTGTCCTGCCCTTCTTTGTAGCTACGAAACTGGCTAAAATCCGGAAACCATCTTTGACCGTACCCTCTTCAGAGGCATATGTGAAGTCGGCGATGAAAACAGTGGGGTTGAAAACCCGAACCAATGGATACCCGATCCATTCTCTTATGGTAGGTAGATTTCTAAGTCCCAAATCAGCACTTAGGTGTTTTTTCCCCTCCATTGAGTCCCAAAATAATGTGCTAAATTAACATATATATTTATATTGGCTAGACTTACTAATGAGCCATCCGTGTTTTATTTTAAAACCCAAGAACTCTAAAATCTACCTATAAGTTAAAAAAATTATAGTAAAACATAAGATCACGTGTTTTAATTTAGCTCAAACTGTAGGCTGTAATTACATGTCTCCCCATTTCTTTTCCTAGGGTACAATTGTCTGCATGCTGCCTCCTTCGTTATATTTGAAACTGGCCATGCATATGGGCAAGTCCACGCGGGCTCGCTATCTGAAGAAAGCCAAGAAGAACTAAGCGTTGATAACTGCTCTGCGTAGCTCGGCCAGATGCTCCAGCCTCCACGCTCCTCGCGGGCCACCCACCCAGCTCCCAAATCTTCAGGCGTTTTAATAGTTACTAATAAGGCTGAATGTGCCATAATCAGGAAGGAAGCAGGAGCTCCTGACATGTATTCTGGATGCTACCAGCAGCAGATATTGTGTAGTTTAATATAAATGCTCATATCAATTGGATGTAGAACTAATATTAACAAGAACAACTTAATGGGAAGGAGCACAGGTTCAGCAAATCACAGAGGATAGAGTCGGGAATAAGGCCCAACAGTTTCCTCTGGCCCAAAGTGTCAATGACGACTCTTGTATCTTCTCTGAAACGTACTTTAAAAAGTCGTGGCCAGCTCCTCGTTCTTGTTTTTAACAGTTTGAGGGACTGGAGATGAATGGATTTACACGGGGAGGACACACTGCAGTTTGCATAGTTCTTTGTAAGCTTTTCTAAAGGCCTGTCCCCATTTGTATGTTATATGGAACTATCTTTTTCCAAGCAGCTAATGGCAAAAATAATTTGGAGATTTTTTTACACGTGAAGCCTATAAAAATATGCTTTCCTCTAATATTTCTTCTCAGTTTAAATGTATGTAGCTAACTTTAAGGTGTATGGTATGATTTACAAAGGTAAATGGGCCAAAATGTACACTGAGCCAGCCAGCCACCTGTGGTGCCACTAAAACCCTGCCCAGGAAAGTGGCCTGGTGCCCCCGAGGCCTGGTTTCTGTGCTTCAGTAATACTGCTTACATATGTGACAGAGGCTGTTCCTAGAACAGCAGTGACATCAGAGAAGTGGCCTTGCACTTTGAGATTAATACCCTATAAATACTGATATAACTAGTCTTAGAAAGGTGATAGAACTGTGGTGTTGATTAACAGTATATTTCTTTAGTGCTTGAAATTAAGGCCATTGTTACACTGGCTTAATATAAATTAAGGCTTACTTTTATCCGCTATATAACTTGTTTGGGGAAATTGCTAAGCAATAATTCAATGTTGTGAGACATGTCATCTAAAAAGGTGGACCTTTTCGTAGGCTGTGAATCCAAGGCTGAGTTTTAAGCACCAATAAATTAGCACAAAAATTTTTAATTGGGGTATTTAAGTGTTTCTAGATTTTAATTTTATCAGCTAAGGATATAAAAACAGAAAACCAAATTACCATCGTTATATAAAAGACATTTAATAGCATACAAAAAGTGGAAAGAACATAATCTCAGAATAAGGAATACTCATTTAAATGGAATAAAGGCAGCTTTTTTTGAAAAACTTTGTCTTTTTCTTTCATTTTGTTGACACCACAATGACCTGGGCAATATTTCATTTGCCTTCACACGCTGGTTGGTTGGTTGATGGTTATCATGTAGTTATTGCTGGAAAGTTGGCAGAGAGGGGAGGGATTGGCTTACAGGTATACAAAATATTTTTCCTTTTACCCCAGTTGGAAAATTGTTATTTTCTGGCTAGGAAATCCCTTAGCAATCTCAAAACTTCTGAGCTATGGCTTTGATTTCTTCAACTTGGCGAAATTCCTTGTGTATTTGACACTCACGGTTGAAGAGGATGAAATGAAAATCTATGTTTCCAGACACATGAAAGAAAAATTGTACTAAAAGAGAAACAAATACTCTCAAAACCTTCAACATGGTAAAGCATAAATTTGAGACTTATTCTCTATTGACTTGATTGTCTGATATGTGCTGGGTAAGCTTTGAACCCAAAATGCACCGAGTAGGAGACAGTATTGGTTATTTATGTAGAGTACACTCTCCTTACAACATAGGAAGCAAAGTTCAACTTATTGTTCTCGTTGCCCTTTCAGTGGAATAGCGTGGGGGGAATTATCCTGCACACATACTGGTGTGTGCCGTTCTGACCTGTCCTTGTGTCGGTCCCACGTACACTGGGAATAAATAAGTAAATGCTACGGGTGATATTATTAGTCTCCTTTTCCTCAAATGTGGTCCTGCCCTAAAGAGATGAATTCTGAGTTCTCGTTTGATATTTATTGCACTGAAATATGATAGAACTGAACTTCATACAGAGTGAACATTAATCCCGATACCAATACATATGGTGCTGATTCAATGTGGAGGAAAAGATTTATTGTGATAATACCTGGTGAGAATGAAATGAGCTTAAGTGGTATGATAATTCCCTCAGTCTGTTGACATAAAAAATTACCTGAGATTTAGGTGATCCTAGATTCTGCTACTTTGCTCTGTAGTTTTCCAGGGTCAAAACAAAGTATTGAAGCTTTTTTTATTGAATATGTTGGAAACTAAATTTTAAGGACTCATAACTTTGTGACATTCTAATATTTCTAGATTGGCATGTTTATGTCACTCATGCTGCAAGGCACATACATATAGACAGACTTTAAATTCCCTGTGGAAACGTAGATGTTCTTTCTACTGAGATGTGGATGAAACACATTTAGAAGTGGGACACGTGTCTAACATGAACACATATTACAATGTTGTCTACTCTCCTTGTATGCGTGTCATTGAAAAATAAGCAACCTGGGTCCTACCAAAGGTGATCCTGAAAGGATATAAGCAAGCTTGTCTTCCTTGTTACAAAGCTTCCAGGCGTACCACTGTGTGTGTTGATGGGAGTGTCGGTCACGTGCCATGGACTCTTCTGGATGCCGGAGAAACTTCAGCAAGCACAGCGGACAAAACTTCTACCCCGGATACTGCTTACATTTGAGCTGGGAGAAGGGGAGGGAGCAAAGGAGGGAAACAGGCTAAGCAGAAAGAATAATATTAATGTAGCCTGAGTGCCACATGAAGCAGGGCTAGGAGGATGGGGAACCGGTGTGTGTTGGGGTGAGAGGCTTGTGATTATAAGGTACTCGGAGCAGGTTTCAGTGAGGGGTGGCCTTTGAATAGTCTTGAGCAAGCCATTCAGGGACCCGAGGGAAGGGCATTTCAGGAAGGAGAGCATGCCTGGTATGTTCTAAGAAGGGCTAGGAGTATGTACATATTGAAGTATATATTAGGTGATGTGTCTCCTGGAGATTTCAGAGATCTTGCTTTAGTTTAATTACGACTTTCCAGAATTAAATCACCTTTCCATTCTTGGTCATGTTTCACCATCTTTGCACACTGTGGGATGCAGTTTGTTGGTATTTCATTTGGAATTTTTGCATTTATATTTTGGAAATTGTGTTTTTATATGAAGATTATAACTTCATTAAATGAGCTGGGAAGTGTTGCCTACTTTACTATTCTCTGGAAGGTTCTGTAATAAGAATACTCAGGGTTTCTATTTTTTCAGTCAATTTAGAAAACAAAAATTTTTTCTAAGCATTTAGTTATTTCTTTCCAAACTTATTAGCATAAAGTAACTCAAGAAATATTCTTGTTTTTAAGCCTCTGCTGGATATGTACTTTTATTTCCTTTTCTAATATTGTTTGTGCTCCTCACTTTCTTTTCCTTACCATTTTGTCAGAAGTTTGTCTATTGTTGTTTTTTAAATATACATGTTGATTTCAGAGAGGAAGGGAGAGGGAAAGATAGAAACATCAATGATGAGAGAGAATCATCTATTGGGTGCCTCCTACATGTCCCCTACTGGGGATCGAGCCCACAACCTGTGCATGTGCCCTGACTGGGAATTTAACCAAAATCAAACCATGATCTCCTGGTTCATAGGTCTACACTCAAACACTGAACCACACTGGCTGGGCTACTTACTAGTTTTTTATTAAAGAACCAACTTTTGGCTTTGTTGATTCCCTCTGCTCTTTTCTTTTTATGTCCTGCTTTCTGTTATTTTTCTTATTCATAATTTGGGCATGTAATTCATTCATGCTCAATTTTTTTCCTATTTTTACATTGATGTCTAAGACTCTAAATTTATTTGATGATCTTTTGCTATATCCCACAATTGTGTGAGTGCACACAAAAAAAGCACATACACACATTCTTTTTCAGGGCTAATATTTAAAAATTTACATTATGATTTCCTTGAACTATGAATTATTTAGAAATGGTTGTTAGCAGCACAAAATTAAGTTTTTAAAAGCACGAATTTAAATTTTACAAATGTATTTTAAACAAAATTTGTATTGGTGTTTCCATTAATAAGAATTTCACACTGTGTGCATTCTGATGGGATGGACTGAAGATACATTATTTATGTGGTATTCCTGCCACAATATATAACCTGAACCTAACCAAGACGAAATGTCAGAAAAAACTAAATTGAGGGATATTTCACAGAATAACCAGCCTATACTTATCAAACATTTCAAATTAAAGAAAACTAAAGAAATCTGAAAAGTAAATGTAATACATGATCTTGGGTTGGGATCCTGGTTGAGAAAAAAAGTTTTTGTTGTTTTTTTTTTATTACTCCCCAGTTTTAGAAATTTTATGAGACTTACTTTATGGCCAGGTATAGACAAAATTCTAAGTGTACCATATGTGCTTAGAAAATATTTCTGTTAGAGGCCCAGTGCACAAAATTCCTGAAATGGGGGGGTGGTTCCCCTCAGCCCAGCCTGCGCCCTCTCGCAGTCTGGGACCCCTTGAGGGATGTCCACCTGCCGGCTTTAGGCCCAATCCCCCTGGCCTAATTTCCTGATTTCTATGTATTTGTGGCCTAGGGTTTTGTTTTTAAACCCCATAAATTCCCTGTTTTCATTATTTTATACCATCATGCTGGTTTAAAATAAATTATACATTTACCAATTTGTTTATATACCTCTCTTGCATGTCAGATCTCCCTTCTGATGCATGTCACAGTTTAATTGAAATCGTTACTTTTTCTCTGTTGGTGCTATATTGAATGAGTAAAGGTGTGATTTAGAACTGATGGCATCTAACGGTTAATGAAATACCTCCTCAGTCATTGACTTCTGGCTTCCGTTGTTGGTGTTCAGAAGGCAGTGTCAGTACGGCATTCTTTTATAGGTAGAAATAACTCTGGCCACATTTCAGATTTCTTTGGCTTTGTGTTCCTTGGTATCATGACAGTGTATTTAAGTGTTTAAATTTAAGAATTAAAAAAAATGTATCCTACTTGGTTTATACTATGCTTTCTGTGCGTAAGAATACATGTCTTTGGTCTTTTCTGAGAAATTCTCATTGCCTTCGAGTCTCTAGTTATAAATGTCCTATCTTCATTCTGTCTCATAACCTTTCTCACATTTTCCACCTCTCGTTTCCCAAGCTGCATACTGTGCAATTTGTTTACATATATATTCTAGTTCCTTAATTCTCTCTTCATATATTTGTATCTCCTGTTAAAGCAAGTCACTGCTGTTTTCATTGTCACGTTTTAGTCCAGCGGTCGCCAACCGGTGGTCCGTGAGGTCCGAAAGGCTGGCGACCGCTGTTTTAGTTGGGTTCTTGTTTAAATCTGCCCGGTCATTCTTGATAGTTTCATAATGCTTGCTCATTTTTCAAATTCAGTTTTAAAATTTTATGGAGGTGTTGCACACGTGGGCATTTTATATTCCATGTCTGGTGATTCTCATAATCGGAAATTCTTAGGAGTCTAAACCTATTGGTTGTATTTCTCCAGAATCTCATTCAAAGTGGTTTATTTTCTTTTGTGTTGGTATTTTTAAAAAATATATATTTTATTGATTTTTTACAGAGAGGAGGGGAGAGGAATAGAGAGTTAGAAACATCGATGAGAGAGAAACATCGATCAGCTGCCTCCCGCACACTCCCCACTGAGGATGTGCCCACAACCAAGGTATATGCCCTTGACTGGAACCGAACCTGGGATCCTTCAGTCCACAGGCTGATGCTCTATCCACTGAGCCAAACCGGTCAGGGCATTGTGTTGGTATTTTTAGTTTGAAATCCTATTTGATTTTAATCTGGAGAGAGTCCTGAGGGCTAAATTGGGATGTTCCTCTTCAGAGATAAATTTTTTGCTTCTGTCTGTTGGCAGCCTGGGAACTTTACCAACCCAGCACCACTCTCACTCCACTGGAGGTATCTGACTCCATGCAGGAGTCCCAGGCTCAGTTCTCACACCTTGTAATGATTCCGAGTCACTCTCTTGCTCCAAATGCTGGTCCTGTGTTTCCCCCAGGGAGCAACCACTGATTTCTTATTTTCTTACCGCTAACTACTTCTAGCTCTGATTTCATTTTCTTACACTTTTTTCACCCCTTTGCTTTGGTTTATTGTTTTGCCCTTGGAGATATTATTTTGTATGACTCTAGCCTTGCATTAAATTTTATAGAGTAGTTACAGATTCATTTTGTGGGAGTTTGGGTACTTGTTTTACATTTCTTCTAGGTAGGAATTCAGTATCATGTAAGCTAATCGATATATGATAGAACAGAGGGAAAATTTTTAATTTCTGCAGAGAGCAGAGGAGCCATACACACAACTTCAAGCGAGCATTCACAGGGACTTTGTGGCCACTCTTTATGTTTGTTCTAATTTAGCCAGAATTGAGTTGTATATTCAGCCGTACTGCCAGGAGCTTCCATTAAGTTTTCCATCTCTTTTTCTCTCTGTGTTTGGATATTTTCTATTAATTGTCTTTCTTAATAGATTGTATATTTAACTTCTGTTTTAGATTTACAGGAAAATTGAGCAGAAAGTACAGAGAATTCCGATATTCCATACTGTATTATATTGCTACCAACCCTTCACTTTTGAAGTCATTGAAAAACAAAAACAAAAAACAAACACCAGCTATGTGGTCCCAGGAGATGGCTCCATATATCATTCCAGGAGTAGTCCTGTCTTTCCTAATGAGCTCTCACTCTGTCATGTATTTGCATTTGCAGTGGGATGATGGCATCATGGTTCAGTTTATCCCTTTGTAAACCGGGGGCTAATATTTATACACCTACATCATAAGGTCGTTCTGAAAATCAGATCAGCATGTAAGTAATTAGCATAGCATTTGGCAAGCAAGACACTCTCAATAAATGTTAAGTAGTGTTTTATTTGCCACATTTTTATCATTAAGAATGAGTTGATAAATGTTGCCTGCTCTTTTTCAGGGGTAATGTAACCATCAGAATACCTTTGGGCCTTCTGAATGCCAAATACTTTAGAGCCTTGGCATAGCTCCCTGTTCGCCATAAAGCCTTCGTTGATGACTGTAACCTCTAGTGATCTCTCCCGTCCCAGATTTTTGTCTGCTCTCCACAATCCCACACCCAAGTAGGCCGTTGTTTAATTGAGCCTCACATGGTTTACACTGCGGTTTCTGGAAGACTTCATCTCTGGCAGCATCGGCAGTCGTGCTGGGCAGGGAGCAGGAGGAGTTCCTGAGTGGAGTCTGGGAAGCATCCTCTCTCTGCGTTGTTTAAAGTCGGCCAAGACTTGAAAGGCTCCGCACAAACACGCTGCGGAGTTGGCAGGTTCCTGTCCCACCCTCCCTCCTCAAGCTGGGAACCGCTGAGCCTTAGGCCCTGAGACACGGGCGGGGGACTTCCCTCTGCCACACCTTCGCAGAGAGCTATTAGCTTGATGTGCCATTATTTCCCTTGGATTGGGTTTTCTCAGGAATTCAGCAGCAGGCGCTCCACAAGTGGCACATGATTCAAACAGGGAACACTGGGCAAGAGTCTGCTGTGAAAACAGGCAACTGAAAGTAGGCTGCAGTGTGTGACTCGCCCAGAGTCATTTCTAAGAGCTTCCGACACGTAAAATATTGATCAGTTTTGCCATCCAGGGGATGAGATAACTGCTGAGTGGAAAAGGGATCACCTGGAGAAGGCAGGCAGCTGGAAAAGGCAGAACTCTTGAAGGTTCTTGCAAGTTGAAACCAGGCACTGTTAAAAATGCCAACTGCAGGGTTCTGCCCCACACCTGCTGACTCAGAATCTTGATGGGGCCTAAAATCTTCCGTTTTGATACGCATTCCCCAGTGGCTCTGCAGATGGTCTTCCCACCATGTTCTGAGGAACACGGGTTTCAGAGGAGAGGTATGGCAACTGGGCCGGCAAAACCTACTGGGACTTCAGGAGGGAGGCCTCAACGAAGGAAATCCGAGAGTGGCGCTAGAGCAAGGGGCCCAAATCAGAGGCAAAACCAGTTACTTGCAGTTTAAGGCCAACCCAGGGGCAGTCCCTTGCTAGCCCTGATGTCATGATCATACTGAAACGGTCAGGACTCCAAGAGACAGAAACGATATAGTAACTCGAACAGGAATAAAATAAAGAATTATTTACCATCATAAGAAATTACCTACAGGGGAAAACGGGAACTCCAAAAATACCAACATAGTAGATAGAGCAGCCACTTAAAAGTACCTCTAGGTTGGTCTACCTCTAGGTCAAGGCAGAATACAAGGGACGCACAAAGCCGGAAGCACCCTCACCTGCCAGGAAGCACAGACCAAGGCTGTATTTTTCAAGTCATCTGCTCCAGGTGAGGGCTGCACAGGGTTTCCAAGTGTCCTCAGATAAAGAAGGACAAGCTACTTCCACCACCAAGGGAGGCTCAGGGTGACTTGGGTGTTCAAGGTCGTCACTTTCATCCGGGCCCAAGCAGAAGTGCTTGCTTCAAGTTTGGGGATCCCATTCCTTCCCAGTCAATGCCTTAACCTCAGAAGGGAAACTTAACAAGGCTCTAAATTCAAGTAACACTGAAATTCAGCCCACAGAGAGCTGCCAAACACGGCTCACCACCAGGCGTTGCAAAGCCAGCTGAGACCGCACACTGGACTCGGGAAGAGCCCTTTCCTCCTCCATGTCCCTCCAGCGCCCTCTACTGATGAAACTGAACACCCGGCCGGACGGAAAAGGAGACCCGTTCCAGGACCGCGGGCAGGTCAGAGAAGGATGGGTCTGGACTGGAGAATCAGTAAGAACTGGCAACGCACCTCACTTTCATCCCTTCTCCACAGTCACCCCTAATAGAAACAAATCCTGCAAATAGAAATGAGGCCACCCAGGATGCCAGACTGCATCAAGATCATCTTTCTAATAGTACATACTCACATGGATCTAGGATGAGCACCACTTTGCCCAGGACTGCCCTGGCTTTAGCACTTATGAAGCCCTGCATCCTGGGGAAAAAAAACCCAGTCCCAGGTAAACTAGAACAATTGGTCACCCTACATGTGTCCAAAAGGTTTCCAAATGTTCCGTGTATCAGAATCACCTTGGGCACTTGGTAAAAATACAAGCGACTCTGTTAAAGATGCAGTTATTGTAGATGCAAACGGGCTATGCATTAATTTTTGAGAAGTGTTCTACTCGGAGAGCACTTCTTCTAGGGACTCCCCGACCCAGACTTCTTTGTTTCTGTTCCAACACTATTAACCATCAAAAAAGAAAGAAATGACATCCTTTGGAAGATACAGCCAAGGTTCCTGAGCGAAGCAGACACTGACAAATTACTAGTTGATGGGGGTGTGGTCTAAACATTTCCTCTCCTTTCAGCTCCAGGCTAAATCGTTTCTCCTTCAGTGTTACAAGTTATAACAAATAGTGGATGCTGTGAAAATCAGATACATTGATAGGGTATACTGAACTTCCGGCAGGTAAGCAGTAGGAGTCTTATTCTAAAGACTTACAGTGACTCCGCTTCGGTAGATCTTAAAGAATCACTTGCCCTGGCCGGTGTGGCTCCGTTGGCTGGAGCGTCCTTCCGTGAACCCAAAGGCTATCGGTTGATTCCCAGTCAGGGCACACGCCTAGGTTTCCGGTTCCACCCCTGGTCTGGACGCACAGGAGGTGGTGCGAGAGTCATTCGCTAATCGGCCGCCTCCGGCAGGCCCTCCACTGGAGATGGAGCCCGCAACCCCGGCAAGTTCCCTAACCGGAAACCAACCTGGTTCACAGATCGGTGCTCAAGCACCGCGCAAGACGGGCTGGGCAAAATTCAAATCATTTTGCTTAGCACCTGTCCCCCAACTCCCTCGCTTTTCCTCTAGCTGGGCGGAAAAAGAGGCTTGGACGCCTCCAATAGGCGGAGCTGGGGAGTGGTCTCCAGAGGGGCCTTAGTCTCGGAAACACGTCCTCATTCCCCACCTTCGCCACATCCGGGCACCTCGCGGGGATCCCGCTAACCCTCCAACCCCGTGTTCCCCTCCAACCCGGCCCTCTCTTCGGCACCTTCAGATACGCGGCCCTCCCGGAGCCAGGAACGCGGAGCAGCCCGGACGCCAGGTGCTGGCGCCGGAAGCGGCGGCGGCGCGTGACGTAAGAGGAAGTGCCTGACGCCACGGCCTGTGATTGGGAGTTGCTGGGGTCGGTGCTGCACTCTTAAGGTTCCCCGGGCTGCCGGCGGCGAAGCAGGTCCGGTCTGAGCGTTGCTTCCAGGGCGGAGCGCGCCCGGATCGCCGGCAGGTGCGGTCTGTGGTTCACCGGTGGGCGCCCGGGCTGGTGGGGCGGGGACCGCCTCTCAGGCCCTTTCCCCGGCGGCCTCCGGGGCCTCGCAGAACCTCCTGGAAGAGAAGCATCTATTAGACAAAGTTGCTAACCCTTGTTGAGGGCCGGGCGTTCACCCTCCAAGACGTTTAATCTGCATCTCAGTGGTGAGGGAGAGATTGGCGTCCTGTTCACAGAGGAGGAAACAGGCCCCCAAAGGTGAAATCATTCGCCCCAGGTTGTGCAGTTGCGAAGCGGCAGCTCTGAATTCAGAGCGAGTCCTGGCCGACGCCGCAGCTCTTCGCCCCGCTGCGGGGTTCGCCGGCTTGACCTGGGGTGGGAGTCCCGGGGTGGGCGTGGGGGATGGGGTGAGGTAACAGTTTCTGCAGCGTCGTAAGTTCGCCAGGTCTGCGAGGGGCCCCGGAATCTGTATTTTCAACATCGGTCCCCTGACACGTAATAGCAGATTGCTGCCCCGAGAGCCGAGCAAGAACTGTAGCTAATTGTCGTGTTAAGCTTTTAAGGCCTCGGTTGAGGGAAAATGTCAAACCAGGGCTTCCTCCACACGTCTTGTGGGACTGGAGAGTTGGTATTTTGGGGCAAATGACAGCCTCTATCATCTCCCCACGTAGTAAATGAGAAGAGTTGCATATTTGTTACCTGGGGAATTTGTTAAACATTCGGATTTCTGGGCGCCCAGCCCAGCTCAGCTGTCCTGAATCAGAAGGTGTGTGTGGGCGGGGGGGGGGGGGGGCTGGTATTCCGTAGGCTAAACAGGCTATGAAATGAGCTTGTTACCTTCGAGAACCTGCGGTGAGAAGCTTTTTAGATAGGCTCATAAAGAAATGGATCATAGTTTCAAAACACGCCCAAGCCTCCCTGGTGTTGGTAGGTCTGCATGCTCCTGTATGTGCTGTGAACTAAAACTTTATTGGTGAAAATGCCAAAGTAATATGACATTACTGGCCATTATGAGGTGGAGTCTTCAATTAGCTGGAGACTGGAACGATACAATTTGAATAGTAATACATCTGCTATTGACTTCTTGAGTGACGTCAGTGAGGCACTTAACCTTGTGGTCCTCTTAAGTGTCTCCTACAAGGCTTATTACACTTGTATCCATCCTGCATCAAATCTTCTAACAGGTCACTGTTTTTGTTTTTTGGTTTTTTTTAAAAAAAATATTTTTTAGTTTTTTTTAGAGAGACAGGAAGGGAGAAAGAGAAAGGGAAACATCGATGTGAGAGAGGAACATCAATCAGTTGCCACCCATATGTGCCCTGACTGGGGATTGAACTTGCAACCTAGGTATGTGCCCGACTGAGAATCAAACCTGCAGCCTTTTGGTGGAGGGGATGACGCTCCAACCACCTGAAACTTCTGGCCAGGGCAAGGCCGTGGATGTTTGTAACGAGCTTCGAGGGAAGTTTGATGCAACCAGTGTTACAGGATATGGAAATGTGTTCGGAAACTGAGTCTTAGCTTATTTCTCAGTTTCCAGGTAGGTGGGGTATCAGTTTCCTTAACTTCTGCTCTGGGGACTCATAAGAGTAATGTCGTTTATAATCCTAGTTTTAGAATTTCTTGATGTGCAATGTAAATGAAGGGAAGGTACTATAATAAGATTGCAAGAGGTAATCTTATTATAAGATTAAGTCACCCTAAAAGGTAAACCTTGACACCAGCAGCCCTAAGTGATTTAGTAGGCTCTTTGATTGAGATGTCGTGATGCCAGAAGTTGGTTTTATATAGAAGCTCTGATTGCTGTTGAGCAATCTCTTCTGCCTGAAAAGACTATAGTTAACCCTTTAGTAGTATAAGTTCTCACAACCCCTATTAAAAGCATGTGTGTGTGTGTGTGTGTTTTTAAACAGGTAACCATTGTGCGGTTCATGTCAGCAATGAAATCGTCTGAAAGCTAAGAGCAGAAGCCTTTTTGGTCAACATGGAGGACAAGAGACGGCGAGCCCGCGTGCAGGGAGCCTGGGCCGGCTCAGCCAAGAGCCAGGCCGTTGCTCAGCCAGGCAAGAACCAGTGGGGACCCTTGCGTGTAAACGTGGACAGCTGTCATCCTCTTTTCTTTATATCCCTCTGGCTTATAATGGACTCCCATTTCGATGTTAAAGAATTATTTGAAATGTAGCTGGTATTTTCTCTGAATTTGTTGATGGTGAGCTAAGGGTTGATCTTTAGTGTTTCTCCCGTTTAGTCACTACACCCAGACCTTGCAGTGGGTGTGTTGAGGTCTTCGGTAGATGTTACTAATTAATTTGTAGATGTCACGGAGGTCACCTCTAAGTGGATTTCATTGGTCCTTGCTCAGTAGGAGGTGATGAGAGCAGACTTTTCTCTCTCTTGCTTCAGCTACCACTGCTAAGAGCCATCTCCACCAGAGCCCTGGTCAGACCTGGACGAACAAGGAGCATCATTTGTCAGACAAACAGTTTGTATTCAAAGAACCCCAGCAGGTAAATTCCTGTTTCTCCTTCAACAGTAACAGATTGTTTATAAGTTATATTCACGTGGTAGACACTCAAATAAGTAGTGACTGAATAAATTCACTAATAAAAGGAGAGTTAAAGGACTATAATATTGAAGTGGAGAATATCAATTTCTTAGTATGTCTGAGAATTCTTTGTCATCCTCCCCCAAATTATGGGCATGTATAAGTCCCTTTTTTTTTTGGCACGTAGGCTATACATGATTAGAGGTTAGAGGTTGCAGCATGGCTAGAGCTTTCATTGATTATCTAAGTTCTAACAGTCCTAAAACCATGCTGTCTTTGGTGCTCACGCAGCAAATGTCTCTGATTGGATTGAAATTTCAGCAAGTACAATGCTTGATAGTTTAGCTTTTTTTCCAATGGAAAAATGTATGAAACAGTGAAGATTGACTGTTTTTAATAATAAGGGAGAAAGCTAAATATCAGGCATCATGCTATAGCAGTGATTTTCAACCTTTTTTATCTGATGGAACATGTAAACTAATTACTAAAATTCTTTAGCACACCAGAAAGTATAACTTTTGCCTATCTGACATTTAAAAAGGTATAATTTTGATTGGTTTACCAAAAAGAAAGTTTTTATCCATCTTTTTTTCTCCAATGTGACTTTTTAAAGAATCAGTTGCCTATACTTGTATATAGGAGTTCTGGTACCAAGAATTAACCAATCAGACGCAACCTGATTATGTGACATAACCAATAAGATGCAACCCTGTTATATGACCTATATATTTATGGTTCAGACAGGGCATTCACACTGGATAGCTGTTGTTGTGTTGGCCGTTGTCATTTTCTTATTTGACAATCTAAGACAAAAGAGGTCAGTGCCCCTGACTAAAGAGTCAGGTATTGCGTGTTTTAAAAATTCTTGTGGCACATCGATTGAAAATTGTGGTATTCTAGTAATGATTTTATAAATGATTAAAACCCCTTACTTGATAGAATATCTTCTGTTTTAAAAAATCTCCTGGAAAGGTTTTCCTAATGCTGGCTATTAGGAAAATGGATTAATTCCAATCGCATCACCTTTTTTTTTTTAAAAAAATATATTTTACTGATTTTTTACAGAGAGGACAGGAGAGGTATAGAGAGTTAGAAACATCCATCAGCTGCCTCCTACACACCCCCTACTGGGGATGTGCTCACAACCAAGATACATGCCCTTGACCGGAATTGAACCTGGGACCTTTCAGTCTGCAGGCAGACGCTCTATCCACTGAGCCAAACCGGTTAGGGTGATCGCATTGCCTTTTAACTCTCACTAGTAACTACGAAGAGCAGAAACCAGGGTTTCTGGTGGGATAGTAAGAGTTTGGAGTAAAAAAAGGATAGTTTTGAACCTGATTTATTTTGACTAGAATGAAAGGATATGGTAATCCTGCTAGTTCAGCCTCACTGAGGATGAGGAGCCATTCCACAGTAAGATCTGTCTGTTTCCTTGCAGGTGGTGCGCACAGCCCCAGAGCCGCGAGTGATCGAGTAAGTAATTTGCTGCCTTCCTCTAGCTCTGCGGTTCTCAACCTGTGGGTCGCGACCCCTTTGGGGGTCGAACAACCCTTTCACAGGGGTTGCCTAAGACCATCCTTCATATCAGATATTTACATTATGATTCATAACAGTAGCAACATGACAGTTATGAAGTAGCAACGAAAATAATTTTATGGTTGGGTCACAATATGAGGAACTGTATTTAAAGGGCCAGAAGGTTGAGAACCACTGCTCTAACTATTGTCGCACTGAAATGGAGAGCCTAGGATTGTTCCCTCACCCTGGTTTTTCCGTCTGGAAGAGATAACAGCTCAGTTAGTGTCTTAATTTTAGGCTGGGATATTCCTATCTCGGATGTCTTTAAGCTGGGTCTTTTGAGAAGCCTTTCTGGATTTACTGATGGTGTGGAAAATGCAACCAGATAGTCTACGTTAAATTCTGACTGGTGTAGATTTCCTGACCCTACTTCACTAATATGACTGCAGATAGTAAGCTAAAATATCTCCTAGGTTAAGATGGGGTGTGGGGAATTACTTTTCCTGAGTCATTGAAACATGGCTCTTTGAGAAGCCTTTAGGTACCATTTTACTAGCAATGCTTATGAAAGCTGCTAGAAATCTAGATGACCCTACAGTCTATTTCTTAAAACTACATAATTGTTTCAGAGCAAGTAAATGATAGTAAACATTCCATTCCTCTTATATTAATGTGTCTAAAATGTTCTTTTAAAAAATTGTTAAAGATGCTTTGACTGCTCTTTTCCTGCTTTTCAATTTCCATCTGATGTACTTAAATTGTCAGTCAAAAGGATCCTTTTATTTTAGCAGTTTAGCATTATGCTTATGTTATTGCTCATGAGCAGTCTGTTAAGCTGTTTGGCTGTTAAAGGTTGACTTATAAATCTTAGAAATATTTTAAACTAACACAAATGTCATCACCCTTTCTGAAAGGGTATGTTTTTGTGGGCTTGCGACTAGTTAGCTATGTAACTAGTCCTTAGGTAAGTTATTGTCATCTCTTTGGGCTTTAGTCTCCTTGTCTGTAATATTAAGTGTTTTGACTACTTAATCTCGTAAGGCCCAGTCTAGTAGCTCTGACAGTCTTTGATTGTTTTACAAATGCCAGTGTGATATTGTCTCCATTGGTGATAAAGAGAATAAATAAAACCATGAAACCTGTTACAAAATGGGCAATTCTGAGTTTGGAAGTCAGGAGCAAAGTGACAGAACTGATTGCTATTTAACCCTAGGGCTTGTTAATTTTGGTTATCTAAAGTTAGTTGTGCTGGATTTTTTTAATAGCCAGAAGTGTGGCTCACATTTAAAGTGAGCCAGCTTCTAAATGTGGCCCAAAATATATCACATAGCAACATTGTATTCACACTCTGGGAATTCACACACAACACGTTTAGAAATGTGATCAATACTGTATATGTAACAATAGTTCTGCTACATTCTGGTTCAGAGGAACTCACACATCTACCTAAGAACCTGCTCAGAGATTGTGAACTGCTCACTCACATGGCAGAGGGGTGTGTGAAAACTGTCCCTTCACATTATGCTCAGTAACGTACCTTTCCGAGAAGGATCTGACACAGTTATCTGGATAGAGGCACCTATCCAGTCGGGAATACTTCTCTTACGTGGACCTCGCCACCCTGCACATATGCAGCAGTTTTGTACTGTTGCAAACTTGATTAAATTCAGTTAGTTTTTATTGCTCAACTACTATGTGCTAGGTGCTGGGAAACAGAGTAATAACCCATTTCTTGCCTCTCAGTAGCCCACAGTCTAGTAAATGCAATGCACATGTGACCAGGTACATTGTAATCCTGTGTATCATGAAACAGTAGATTTGTATGTAAGGTCTTTCAGTAGCACAGAGGACGAGATGTTAACATTTGGGTGGACTAAAGGTCAGGAAGGTGATGCTGAGCTGAAACGTGGTGGTGTAGTCAGGAGAGTCCGGGCAATAAAGTTGGTCGAGCTATCAGGAGGTGGAGTCAGGTCACAGGGACGTTCCATGCAATGCTGACAAGTGGATGGGAGCCTTGAAGGACTTTAATCAGCGGAGGAACCTCATTAGACATGTATCTGAAAGCAACAGATGCACACAGCCCTTGCTACCTCTTAGATGCATCTCTCTTCCAGGGTTTCCAAAGGAGCGCTCTATTTGGCACTATTTTGGCCTAAATTATGGGTGAATAGAAAGGGGTAGGACCAGAGTTTGTTATTACAGCCTTCATCTCGTGGTCTGATCTTGCCGGATCTGTTCCCAATGCCATTATTTCAGTGGTAGAGAAGGTGAAGCTGTTCTTGCCCTCATTGTTAAATGACTTTGGTGAGCCAGGACTTTGAGAATCCAAAGGACAGCGCTTTCATTGGGTGGAGGGTATTGTTTTGTTTGATACTAACAGGTCTGTCTTCTTTGTTTCTTTGTTTCTTTAGCAAAGAGGGTGTATATGAAATTAGCCAGTCACCCACAGGCATATCTCGGTAAGTGACATTAATCAATGCATAAGTGTACTCATTGTCACTATAAAATAATGAGGCATTTAAAGCAAAATATATCAGAACTTACATATCTAAATTAATTGCTTAGAAGTCTCTGTAATTACTCAGTGGCACTGCCATTCTTATAACCCTTTCTGGAACCTCCCTTTTAAAGCAAGTTTAACAGTCACACAAGGAAACCAGTTGCATTATTTTGGTCACATCTCATTGTTAACCAGGTATGGCTTAAGGTGAGCTTTGGCTCTTTCAAAATATCAAATGCATCTTCAAAGAATAAAAAAGTTCAAGAAAATGTCCCAAGGGCTTTCAGAACACTCCTTAAGAAGGATCTCCAAAATGATTTGAAGTGACTTAGCAGTGTTGAAATAAGTGTATGTACAGTGAGAGAAAGAACCATCATTTGGATATTTTAATTTCAATGTAATCATAAGTTATTGTTTCCCCTACAATTGGCACAGTATCAGAAGAATACCAGTTGTTAAAATGACACAGGGCCAGGCTTACTTTACTTTTCAGCAACCCTCTGAGGTGGATATGAACTTCATGTTACAGGTTATAAAAACCAAGGTTCAGAGGTTAAATAACTTGCCCAAGGTTTCACAGCTAAGCAGTGCTGGAGCAACATTTGAACCATGTCTATAAGAGCCCTTATGAATCCCTTTATCCTTCATGCTGCTTTTATTTGTCTTAACACAAGTTTATTTTACATCTGAGCATCGTGACCTGGGTGATGCTGGGCTCTGCTTGCTATGGGAGGTGTGGTGTGATGATTTCGTCTCCCCATGAAAGGAGGCATCATCCAGCTTAGTTCACTCTGCTGACAGAGTCTGCAACCCGTCTTTTTTGTGTTGTTTCGTTACTGATGGTTCTTTCTGCTTCAAGGGTGTGTTTGTATCCTGGCTTTGTTGACTTAAGAGAAGCCGACTGGGTATTGGAGCAGCTTTGTCGGGACGTTCCCTGGAAACAGAGGACCGGCATCAGAGAGGGTGAGTGGATCTCTGAGATTGCAGCTGTTGCCGCCTGCCTCACTTTCTGGAGTGTTTTCCCACACGTTGCCTCTTTTCTCCACAGCTATCTTAAATAAAGATTCGAAGCCTACCAGGCCGCAAGGATGCGTAAAAGTTAGCCAGTCAGAGAAAGGGGACAGAGGAGGAACAGGTGGTACTCAGAACATGGCAGGAGAACGGGGTGGGCGGGAGTTCAAGGAACCAGAGCGTTTGGGTTGGCCGAACTGTGGCTGACACGCTCACCTCCCTTTGCGTTTGTTCACTACCTTTATTCCATCACATGGCGCAGTGTCCCTCTTTCTTCATAGAAACTTCCAGGGCTTTCTATTTTTTTTCTGATTCTACTCGGCATACGTTTTTTCACAATCCTTCTTACTGGCTTTTTAGTTTCTTGTTTCACTGGAAGAGTCCCGTATCCTGTAGCTTCAGCTGTTCTCTCCTGAGCTTGTTAAGATTACCTGCCTTGGAGACTGCTCTGTGGTCAGCCACAAGCTACTAAAGCACCTGTAGTACCCGAGAGGGCCACTGAGGGGCATCTGTGCTCTCATACAATTTCTTTCTGGCAAATCAAGTGAATTTAAATTTTCTGTAAAAAAAAGGCAAAGTATACTGGCTTCATTTGACTCAAACATCAGAACAACTCAGCTCTCTCTCCTCACTCCCAGCAGTTTCTATAGCAGGGCTTTTGGTGACAGACTTGCCTTTGATTACAGACTTTGTTATACAAAGTAATTGTTAATTTTAAGCAAAATACAGTAATTTTCTAGTCCTTAGTTTTCAGATCTGTGAAATGGAGCTAATAATAATAATACCTACCTTATAAGGTTGTTGTGATAATTAAATGAGATAATGCATGGTAAGTACTTACCAGAATGGCTGGTACATAGTAAGCCTTCAATGAATGTTAGCTGCTTTTACTATTATTGTTCTTTTTTTTTTTAATTTTTATTAACTTTTTACAGAGAGGAAGGGAGAGAGATAGTTAGAAACATCAATGAGAGAGAAACATCGATCAGCTGCCTCCTGCACATCTCCCACTGGGGATGTGCCCGCAATCCAGGTACATGCCTTTGACCGGAATCGAACCTGGGACCCTTCAGTCTGCAGGCCGAAGCTCTATCCACTGAGCCAAACCGGTTAGGGCCATCGCATGGATTTTTATCTATTATATATTTATTTGTTAATATCAATTTAAACT